TACTGTCAGACTCTGTTCCGTGTCTGTGTGTGTTTTCTTCCCCCACGTGCTCCAGGTTATGTTTATGTCCTTATTTGGTTATCTTCCTGTTCCTGCCATCATAGTTCATTAGTTTCTCCCTGTGTCTCATTATTAGTTATCCTCCTCACCTGTCTGCCCCTCGTTATCTGCCCTATTTGAGTTCTAGCCCGTTCTGTTCTCCTTGGTCCGGAATTGTATATGTCTACCCTTCTTGAGTTCACAGCTGTCCAGAAAATCAATATTCGTGATGGTTTTTATGTTGAATTTAATAAATCACATAAGCTATCACATGACTTCACAAGTCACGGACTACTGCCGTTTTTATTTTTTGTTCCTTTCTGAAGGCAGCTGTGGTTATTATAAAATGTCATTGTAAAAGAGCTGTGTAAAGACTCTTCAAAATATCTTTTATGTTCCACAGAAGAAATTAAGTAATATTAAGGAAAAACAAAACTCACCAAACTGAAATTGCTCATTGTCCATTAGCCGAATGGATGCTGGAGCGCATCTCTGAAACAAAAATAAAGAAAATGAAACTTCAGACAGAAACAAATTAATATATGGAGATGTATAATGACCCCCACCCATAGTTTAAACAAATCTACAATATTATTATTGCTCAGCAAGTATTTTTATGATATTCCCATTTATATTTTTTAAAGGCAGCTGTGGGCAAAGAGAAACACAGAGAGAGGAGCAGTGCAGGTCTTGAATAGCATAATCAATAATTTAATTTTAACTTTGGATCACACAGTTTGTTTATGGACTAATAAGAAGCAGTGCTGTACAGAACGCTAGCACTGTGCTCGCTCATCAATAACAGCAGCAGCAGGTCCACAGACTGATGAGAGGCTGAGATCTAAGGCCATTAGCCAGAGTCTGAGCAGAGCTGTATGCCTTACTCAACACACTCACACAGATCCCTGCCTTCAAATCAATGCTGCTCTCTAACAGACATGCTAAAATGTGTTAGCAATTTATTAAAACATGCTATCACATGAAACATCCAACATGCTAACATGACAAAATGTCTTTTAGACATATTAACCCTTACGAAAATTAACCATGGTTTTATTGTAGTAAAAGTGTATGGTTTTTTGGCATATTGATTACCATTTGTATAACCACATTTTTACTACAAATACCATGGTTAAACTATGGTTAGTCTAGCAAAACCATGGTTTATTTGTGATTACCATGGTAACCGTGGTTTTTTGTTTTTATTTGTAGTAAAACGATGGTTATTTTTTCATAAGGGAAACCATGCTATCATCATGCTGAAACATCCAAGTAACATACTAGCAACATGCTAAATGTGCTGTAAACAAGCTAAAACATGCTATCCTCATGCTGAAACATCTAAGAAACATGCTAGCGATGTGCCAATTTGTGCTAGAAACATGCTAAAGCATGTTACCATCATGCTGAAACAACATGCTCAAAGCAACATTTTAGTGACGTGTTAAAATGTGCTTAAACATGTTAAAACAAGCTAAAACATGTTTGCAAAACGTTTGCGATGGACAAAACAAGCTAAAACGATGCTAAAACATTCAGGTAATGTGGTAACATGCTAAGTGTCATGCTAAAACATGCTGCGGACATGGTAAAATCTGCTATAAACATGCTAACAACATGCTAGCAATGTGGTAAAACCCTATGATAGCAACAGTAAAGACATTCATAAAATTATTGCTATTCAAGTACATGCTGTTCTTTTGAACTTTCTATGCAAATATTAATTTTGAGAAATTATCATGTTGTTGACAAAATTATTAAGCAGAAAAATGTTTTTTAACACTGATAATAATAACAAATGTTTCTTGAGCAGCAAGTCAGCATATTAGGATGATTTTTGAAGAATCACGTGACATGCCTTATGAAAATTAACCATAGTTTTATTATAGTAAAAGTGTACTAAACATGTTTATTTATTTTTTTTTTTTGGCAGGCTGATTGCCATTTTGTATAACCACAGTTTTACTACAAATACCATGGTTAAAATATTGGTTAGTGTAGCAAAACCTTGTGTTAATTTGTGTTTACCATGGTTTAACTACATAACCATGTTTTTGTTTGTTTGTTTTTGTAAAATGGTGTTTAATTTTCATAAGGGACTGAAGACTGGAGTAATGATGCTGAAAATTCAGCTTTGAAATCATAGGAATAAACTACAGTTTAAAATGTATTGAAATAGAAAACATTTTAAACTGTAATATTTCACAATATTACTGCAGCCTTGGTGAACACAAACTTCTTTCCAAAAGCATAAAAAAAAGAAAATCTTCCCAATCCCAAATTTTTGAATGGTAATGTTCTGGTAATTTGTATCAGCAACTGGTTATAACATCACTTTGAAATCAGCATCACTCATATTGTCTATGAATCAAACCATCTCTAGAAAATCAGGGTAGTCCGATCACTGCTGGGTTTGTTTTTTGAGTCCCATGCAGTCCTGCACTGACCTGTCTGGCCACCTCTCTCAGGCACGCCACACCCTGCTGGAAGTTTGGGAAGACAACGGAGCCGTACTTCTGATACTCAGGAATGGGTCGGATCTTCAGTGTCACTTCAGTCACCACTCCCAGAGTTCCTAAGGAGCAAGACACAAGCTCAATCAGCTTAAACATACGGGAACCATGTGGTCACAAGGAATATCACAGCAGTAATTGGTTTTAAGGTTTGATCTGATTCACTATTACTGTCTCACAGTCACAGGATGTCAGAGAGTTAAATGTGTATGCAACACA